GCTGCATCCTGCCTGCCAGGCAGAGAGGGCGACGGGAGAGTGAGAGCAGCCGGAACCTAAAGCAATGGCAGAGCCAAACAAGAAGCGGGGCGCGGTGTGGACTTTTTTTACAACAACAGAAAGGGACAGTGCCAATTGTGATTTGTGTAATAAAGTGGTCCGCTACTGTGGTAACACCACGAATTTACACAAACATATGAAAAAAAGCTCACCCTACAGAGAGCAACGAGCTGCAAGCAAAGAAGTTGAGGGAGGAGGAGGAGATCCCCAAGCCAGAACACCCCCGCGGACACAGAGACAATGTACTCTGGCAGAGGCTTTTCAGCCAAAAAATCAACAATACCCAGGTTAGGGTTATAAACAAACAAACTTCGCAAAAGTTTTGGTTGTCTGCTTCGCACCAGCTTTTTACGGGTAATTTTAGTACGCAGCAATAATTAAACAATTTCTCGATGTTACAGAATTGGCATCAAACATTTTTTTCCTAATTAGTCAATTAAATTGAAGAATAGCTGCAGCCCTAGTTTTATTGGAACCCAAAAATATAGCTACCCATATAAAGATAGGCTCTATACCTCAAACCTGAAATATGAATATTGCTGACTATAATAACACTTTAGTGTTAACTGTTGAAGGAAAAGTAGCATTCCTATTTAGGCTATTTTCAGATTACAGTTACAGACTTAATCATCTTAATCATTTTGTCATGTTACTGTTCCTGAACAAAAACCTGTAAATCCGTTGTCACTATGGCAACAGAGCCAAAAGGGATTCTTCCTTGGAGCAGAGAGCCAAAGGCTGGGAATGAGCCAATTGTGTTTACACTTTATTTGCACTACTGACTTTATTTTCAAAACATTGTGCAATGGGAGGTATTTTAGTTGTCATGTTGACATTGTTATATTTGTATTTTCGTTACATTGCTGCTTTTTGACTATTGTTCTGAAACAGTTGTTGTAGTACAAGTTTTTTTATATACTGTTAAAGTTTGCATTGTAGTTATTTAATAAAAAAAATAATTGTGCTGTGTTTATCATAATTATAATAAAGTAACTGGGGGGGGGGGCAATTATTCAATGATCATGACATTTCCAAGCAAAAAGTATCGGTATTGTATCGGTATCGGACGATACTACCCTGTATTTACTTGGTATCGGATCGATACCAAAATTCCCAGTATCGCCCACCCCTACCGAGGACCAAAATATTCTCTGCGCACTGCGCATGTGTATAATATGTGTATAATATGTATAATATGTGTATAATATAAGAGGCCCAGCCTTTTTCCGTGGTTGCCAAGTCCAGCTATCACCCACATTAGTTTGTCTTTCTTTAAATTCGCCTGAAACGGTGCTGGTGTTGTGTCATCGGGATGGTAAAGCATGAACAATTGGGTCGGTCTTAAACTAAATTGATTGGTAGACTGGTGGATTAAACAAATTTGTATTTAAGTTTACACTATATATACATATATCCAATATACAAAGACTAGAGAAATGAGTGGAACGCGTGAAAAGGGTATCTAACTTCAGGAGTGGGATTATTTTAACAGGCATTTTCCAGATATTGTTTTAAATTAGGTTATATGTATAGTAAGGCTGGCATGGGTGGTGCTGGGTTTCATTATTGTATATCTTTTTTTTCAAGAGCTGGCATCCTTGGCCGGATCTTGGGCGGGGTCATCAGCCGCAGGCATCTTGTGTCCTTGGAGAGTTGTAAACTAGCGGAAAAGCTGTTCTGAACTTTTCTCCTAGTTATTTGCTACCCGAGTTTACTGCGTGTGCGTACATCGGCCGGTAGCAGAAATGTATAGCGTAGTCTGAAGTTTTTTCCTACCCGTAGCAGACATTTATAGCCATATCTGACATTTGTGTTCAGAGTGGTAGAACGTTATTATACACATCAAATCTCAATAAATACGTGCTTCACACTCTATTTAGAGTGGTAGCAAATTACTATAGACATGGAATCGCTATAAATACGTGCTTCTGACTGTATTCAGAGTGGTAGCACATTACTATAGACATGAAATCGCTACAAATACGTGCTTCTCAGTGTATTCAGAATGGTAGCACATTACTATAGACATGAAATCGCTATAAATACTTGCTTCTCAGTGTATTCAGAGTGGTAGCACATTCGTTGAGGCTTCACAGAAAATCCCCGTTAATATATCTGTGCTCTGAGGGTCTAGGGTAGCATTTTATTTATGTTCTTTACATTCACATCTGAAACCAAAGGGAATGTAAAAATGTTACCCAATGCAGCACATACTGTAAAAGAGAAAATAATCACGCTCAATCTAGGATTTTTCAGCAAACTGTTTTTTATTAGTTTTATTTTTACAAATAGTAACAGAAATGATCATAATATATAGTACAGAACATTGGGGTTTATTTTTCATGAGTTTTTTGCTGTTGTTATTTTTCAGTAAGATACAGGCTATGTGCATCCTTTGTTCACTGACAGCTTCTGGAGTTGTCTGCACATCAGATATGTTTCCACTCAGAAGGAAATTTTTGGCGTACTGTAAATGAAATATGAATGTAATTATGTGCTTGATTCGGTACATTATCTATATAATAACACATGTTCTTGTAGATACATAATCTCTACAATTAAATACTATTAGCTTAATCTTCAAAATACATAAACATAAGCTTGTAGCGAAAATAGTACCTTCCACACTAAAACCCTACAACTGCTTAAATCCATCTGTGTGTTGTGGTCCCTGGTATGCACTGTCCACACATATTTGGATTCCTCCCTTGACCTGTTCCTCAGGAAGTTTCTATTACAGCATTAAAATTATTGTTTTAAAACTTTTTTTCCTCTCTTGAAAATCTGTGCAAATTATTCTTTATATTACTGCAAGTTCTTCAGAATCTTCCTGTTGTAGACATCCTCATTTCCAATTGGGTCACTTACAGTGAGGAACTTCTCTGTCATGTTCACAACCTTATGTAAAGTAATTTCATATTTCATATCAATAAACAGGCTGTATAAGGACTTCCTTTACTATGCTTAATGGTTACTCTACAGGGATAAATATCAAATATTTTGGAAATGGACCACAAGAATCCAATGTGCAGTAACATTCACAGGACACAGCCAAACATTATCTGCTGGGAACTTCATCTGTAACAGATAATATAGAAATATGTACGTTAATAAAGATGAGTTAGGACCCTACATTTAAAGAAATGACTTACTTTCTTAATAGGTACATCATGTTATGGAGACTTTTAAACTGCCCATTAAAGAAGAGGGAGCTTGCCACAACGGCACTGAGATAAAATATGGCTTCCTGATAAAATGATCAGTATAAAAAAAAGTTGTAAAAATGGATCCACAGACCATGTCAAGTAATTTCCATTCAAAAGTAACATACCCTGTGGGTGATAGGGTGTGTCTCAGCCCACCTCCTTGTTGAGTGGTGTTTTTTCCAGGTTGACAAAGGTTGTTGTCCTTGAAGGAGTGTGTTTTGTCTTTGAGGTGTATGTGAACAGCTGAGTCCTGTCCTGAGTAGTTGCCCCCCCTATCTTGCCTAATAAGTAGATCTGAAAAAAAAGTTCTGATGAGTCTAAGACTTTTGAGGAACTGGTGAATATGTTCATAGAGAGTCCCTATAGTTATGTACTTAAAAAGTTACATTCTATTCTTTATTTATTTATTTTATATTTTGAGATATGCACACTCCACACTAACAAATTCTATTTCAGATTGAATTAACTGAGTTTTATAAGTGAATTTGTTCAGTGGTAATAGATTAGTTCAAACTAAGCATGAGAAACAGCTTTCTAAAAACACTGACAAAAAAATCTGCTGCGAGTGCCCCACACCACAGCAGTGGGGTCAATTTTGGTTGTGATGTGTGACGTCAGATGCTGAAAAAGGTTGCCGCTGGCTTTAAAAAGCCACACATGCTCGACGTTATTCTTTAAGGCGGCTCCACCTGGTCCCATTTTAGAGAGAAAGGTAAGTGACTTTTGGATTTCTCTTCCCTGCTGTTGTGACTCAGTTTAGTAGTTATAGCTAAATAGCTAAGCTTCACTTAAAGTGGAATAAAACTTTTATTTATTTTTTGCTTTGCTTTGTTTGAAACTCATTAAAAGTGGCTAACCGACATCAAACTTTTTTTGGAGATTTTTGTTTGTTCATTAAATCATGTTTTATCATTTTAGTGTTTAAAGTACAGCTAAACTGGCTTTTATAGCAAATTTCTAAAAAATAAAAACAAAAAAATAATGAAGTTATTGAAGTTGTCCAGTGTTAAAGTCCACTTTGAAACTAAAAGACAAGGTGAGACTCAGGTTTTCTATTTAATTAGAACTCAATTATTCAAAATATGTTGTACTCACACCAAAACTTCAATCCTTATCATGACTTCTATGTTTCTTTTTTAGATTGGTCATCCTGAAGATCCACAACACAGCAGGAAGTGTCATTTTTCTTTTATTCTCTGTGGCCGCCGTGCGGATGTTCTACTAGGCTGCTACCTCTTGCTGCATGTCTGTGTTTGACTGTGTGAACCATAGTAATACAAACAGCAATGACCACCTATCTTGAGCTTATAGGCTGTGGAAACTGGGTGTCGAAAGGCCACTGAACGTAGCCTTCAGTGAAGGGTACGTCTTCAAAAAGTTTTCTTTGAAAGTGCCACTCAACCCAATACTGAACATCAATTCTGTATTGGGTTCAGTGGCACTTTATCTTGGCTGCTATGCCTACTCTGTCCTTTTCTGTCTTTCTATGTTCTTCTGTGGCCATTACCTAGTCTCCTAGGAACATTTATACCTTTGTAGGTGCATCCACAGCCCAGTTAAAACTCTAACTCCCATAATCCCACTGCTTCCAGGAGGAACTACTGACGTCACGTCTCGTCATATACAGTATGTTAGAATAACCCTGACATAAATTGGTCCT